TATCCGTGGTCCCATAAGGTTATTCAGAGCCAAAAGGAGGGGGAGCCTACGGCCCTGCCCCCCCTCCCAAGCAAGGGAAGGAGAAAGGGTTGCAGTCATTTGTTGCTTGATGTCCATGATACGTTCTGGGAAATAGGATGTTATTGATTTGGACGTTGTGTGAACACCATATTATATATGCACTCACCTCTTTCCGGGCCCCTTCCCCCTCGGCTGGGGCTGCCCCCTCTCCGTGCTCCCTCCCTCCTCCCCTGTGAGCCTTTCTCCTTCCGTCTCTCCTGCAGGAGGCAGGCAGGGCCGCAGGCTCCTCCTCCTCCTGGCACTGTATAACCTTATGGGACCACAGACGTATATGCGGTAGGACATTGCCCAGTGGACGTTACGCGGCACGTGGTGTTCACACAACGTCCAGATTACATAATGTCCTATTTCACAGAACGTATCATGAACGTTAAGCAAAGCATGACTGTATATTCTCAACAACAACAAAATAAAATGTTTTTTAAAAAACTGTGATTTCCAAAATGACCTCCAGGGGACACTCCCACTTAGAACCGCGCCATTTACGGTAAAAATCTGGAATGGGAAGAGCACAGCCGTCTTGCTCTCAATTATTTTCCTAATGGCTAGTGTGCATTGTATGCATTTAAAAAAAAAACAATCATTAAATGAGCGAAGAAGACATATCCCTAAGCGGAAACACAGCTTTTCATGGTATTTTTCTTCCTTGGTTTCAACACCTGAAATAGAGTATTATTATCAAATCCTGATCTTTTCACCTGTGCCTTGTGCTTGAAAGAAAGGAATAATATTTTAATATTCAATGTTAAACTATCCTTAAAACAAGAAACAAGAATATCAAAATGTAGAGTTATGTCAAATTAGGAAAATGCCTTTTAATAAATTATAAATGTCACTCTTCACTGTATGAAACTACATAGTTCAGGTAATGAATTACAATTAAATGCAGCAAAGACTGCAAATTGACTATGCGGTAGCTGGTAGCTCTTGTAAGAGAAATTTTTTCTTTCGTTCATTCATTCACTCTGGTGGCTAGAAAGCCACTTAATGTTTTGGAATGTGTACTTGGCCACACTTATGCATTGGTCTGCCGATTTTTAACACCATAAAATACTAGACAAAAGATTTATTTATTGAGATATAGTGCATTTTAGCATTGCTCTTCTGTTCTTTTGATGGTCTTGAAACATATGCTTTGGAAATTGGTATATAGTACTTGAATTCATAGTCTGAGATTGACCCTGGTTTACACTCTTTATTGAAATTTCTTCTGTCGAAGACTGGGTAATTGGCTTCTTAAATAAGAAACTAAGAAAAATACAAGCTGGCTTCATTTGTTAGCTAATTCACAGACTGCTGAAAGAATTTTTACTTTTTATGATAACATGTTTTAATCCACAAAAAATTTCATAAACCTGGCAACATGAATCTGTGCTTTACTGGCATATGGGCTCCTCCTTGATCTGTCCTCAGCTAATCTCACAGCCTCCTTTCCGGTAACTTCTTCCTGCCATGCTCAGCCCAGCAAAGCTGAACCGTGCATGCTTTCCTGAATACAGGGAGTTGTGAGGTCATGTCCTTGTCCTGTTTTTTCTGGCCTGTAGTGCCCACCCTGCCACCTTCTCTTACCTTTCCACTGTACGATTTAATTTATTCTCTAAAACAATAGACCTAACCTCCAGAAAGCCTTCCCAGGTAGTTCACCTCCCCCTCTGCAGACAGCTTCCATTGATCTTTCTCCATTTTACTTCTCTACTTGCTTCTTTTGCCTTTATTAAACTATATTATAATTCATTTCATTTTATGTCTAGCTCCTCTACTGAAATGCAGTGTCCTTGAGGACTATGGCTTTTATTACCTTAAGAATAAGGGGGGTTTTTAATTATAAAAAGCAATGTATGGCCTATGTAGAACATATTTTTTAAAAAATCAAAAAACTCATAATCCCCATTTACCAGTGATAATTCCTTTTACACATCAATCCAGATATTTAGCTATGTATAATGCAGTATATATACTTTAAATTTTTTTTTAAATTGGGTGTATGCTGTATATTAAAAATTACTTTTCTCCCTTCATAAACATCCTTCTATGGCAAAATACATATTCGTCTGCAGTATTATTTCTGAGGGCTGAATAGTATCCATTGTATGAGGATAATAAACAGTTGGAGCAATCCCCTATAGTAAGATAGTAACATTGTTTCCCGCTTTTACCTTAATGAGTAATTCACCAATCCCTGGCACTGCATCTTACTTACTATGAATACCTTTGTAGAAGTTAAGTTGCTGGGTCAATTACCCAGCCTTTGACAGAAGAAATCTCGATAAAGAAACAGTGTACACTAGAGTCAGTCTTAGACCAGGAATTCAAGGACTATAAACCAATTTCCACAGCATATGTTTCAAGACTATCAGAAGAGAAGAGCAACGCTAAAATACCATTATATCTCAATAAACATTTTAAGTCATTTTGATAATATTACCATAAAGATTATACTAGATTTACAATCCCACAAGCAATGTATGAAAAAAAAAGGTCAGTTTCACTACATCTTTCCCCATCTTGGTAATTACCTTTTGTTTTTAATTGTTGAAAACTGACATTTGGTAAAAAGACACATAGATAAGAATTGTTAAATGACCAGAGAACTTCATTCCTTATTAATCACTCTTTTCAGTTCTCAAAAATCCTAACCATCAGGAGCTGATGTCTTTTGTGAAACTGAAATTGTAGCTGAGTAAATTTGTGCCTGTTTTCTCAGTTGCTAATTTCTTGCTGAAGGAGCCCTCTCGGTGTTACTAGGCATGTATTTCATTATACCTGTGACTTCAGCTGCTCTGCAGTGTAATCTTTATGACTTTCGCCTTTTCCGGGTCTTTAATATTTCACGGTGCCCTTTCCACGGGGTCCACATTCTTCTTTAAATGTGGACAGTGGCACAGATCATAAAGATATTAGAAATGTCACGCTGAACAGGATCATAACCCATTGCCATTGAGTCGATTCCAACTCATAGTGACTCTATAGGACAGAGTAGAACTGCCCCATAGGGTTTCCAAGGAGCGCCTGGTGGATTCAAACTGCTGACCTTTTGATTAGCAGCTGAGCTCTTAACACTGTGCCACCAGGGTTCCCTGAAAAGGATCATAGACACCACTTATTCCAATCTCACTGGTTTATAGTTGCGGAGACTGGGCTTTGAGACTTCTCTGACGTCACATAGCTTCTTGGATTCAAAGCTGGGATTAGAACTGGAAACTAGCCGTTGCCTTAAACCTTCTCCTCACAGCAATGCCGGGATTAGGTTGGATGTGGCAGAGGTGCTACTTTGTGATTCTAGTGCACATGCGCAGACTCGAGGGAGTGCTGTTTATAAATAAATTAAAATAAAAATCTACAGCTATAATCCATCTACCTTATGACTCATAGGCTCCCTGAGAGATTTTGTTTTGTCTACACGCGTCCAGCTCACCACACTGCGTAACTTGTTGGTAGAATTCCTCTGGACGAGGCTGGAAGTGCACAAATGTTTAGGTAACACAAATAAGCAATGTTTGAATCCTTCCCACTTGGTTTGCTTTTCTGAGCAGTAGCATGGAAGGCTTCTGACATCCCAAAGCAATGTTACAGTCAAGTGTTTTAAGGGAATGAATAAAAGGTGCTGTCAGCTGAAAACTCCACCTTTCCAAGCAAGGTGCTTGGGTTTCTTTTGGAAGTACTTGACTGATTGGCTCCCTAGCAATATCAAGACCGGAAAGATAGTTGAATTCATTTTAGGATCATATAAAGAATATACATAAATGTCTGTATTTTACAATAGGCAAAACACCTACTCTGAAGATTTTTTAAATATGGAGTTCTGTCATTTTCTTTCTACATAAACAGCAAGTTAAGTGATTTTGAAAGATTTCTCTTTTCCAGTATTCAGAACATAACATGTTAGGTCCTTTACTCCAGAACTGATTGTATAGGTATGCTATACAAAGTTTTGGAGTTCTCTACACTTAGATGCTGCCTGGTGGTCTTTGTTTTGCTTTTCTAAGTGTGAATTTGACCTATGGAGTCAATTTTATCCAGAGCCACCACGTGGCTGGTCAAGCTAATGAACACCTGTGAAAGGAAAGCCATACCCTGACCTGCACAGAACTGTTGGAAACATCTTGTTAAACAAGTTTCCATGATTTATTATTTGTGTTAAGGGGGGATCTCAAGTTCACGTATGGTTTATACTTACAGAAATATTTACCTGCTTTATCATCTTCATGGTTTAGCCTGCACTTACAATTATTGAGTAGGCTTTACATGTGGAGCCTTTGCTGATAATATAGAACAAGTGTTTATAGTTCTGTACCAAGCAGCATATGATGTGACTAGTTACAGTATCCTTGTTCTTCTATGAGTACAGGTATTTTGCGTGTATGATTGAGTTCAACTTCTAGACTTAAACGTCTACTCCTTCTTCAACTTGACATTAAGGGGTGACTTTCCAGTCGTGTAGGTGTTTCCCTCCTCATTTTCTTCCCTTTTTCCTCCTTTGTTCTTTTCCTTCTCCTCTTCTGTTTTCACTTTCTCTCCTGTTTCTTGTATTTCATTATTGTCCACACTGGATAACTCTGTTTTCAATTTTCTCAAGTTTCAATTTGCTTCTATACTAGGTAGAAATAAATCTAAATGTTATGAACGTTAGCTGTTGTGTTTTCTAGCGGTTGAGTTTATAAATGGGTTTGTTCTGCTTCTACTTTCCTAATGTTTTCCATAATGTTTATCACTTTTATAATGGGAAAAAACAGTAATTTTATTTTAATGTCCTTTTAGGATTTGAATAACAAAGTATCTGTGCATCAAACTTTAAATGATAATTGACCATAAAGAGCTATGACTTCAAGAAATTGTAGAGAATTTGTTCTCCCCAAAGAGCCACTTATAAAATTCTAAATGACAAAATTCATGCATATTGTGCATCTGTTCTGTTCTAGGTGCCTCAAGATGAGTGGGGAGGGTACCCAGCTGGTGGTAAAGATGAAGAAATACCCTGCAGGAGAATGAGAAGTGGGAGTTATATTAAAGCCATGGGGGATGAGGAGAGCGGAGAATCAGACTCTAGCCCCAAAATGTCACCAAAGGTAGCAATCCGACCGGAGCCCTTGTTAAAGTCCATTGGACAGAGACCACTTGGAGATCACCAAACGTAAGAACTACTAACTTGTCTTCCCTCTTCTAGGACACAGCTGCTATGTTTCAGAACTCTTCTCTCATCAAAACTAGTTCACTGCAAGCTAGTTGTCATCAACTTAAAAAGAAAATTCCTGAGTTGAAAATAGTAGACCCTACAGCCCTCGATTTTCAAGTCCTTAAAAAAAAAAAAATCTGACCTTTGGTTATTTATCACGTAATAATTAAAGAAATATGTGTAGGCATATTTCTGTGTCAAATTTTAAAGCAACCATTAGCCAGTGTTACCTATCAAATTATTTTCCTCAAGAGGATTTAATTCTATTTGTGTGAATTTGTTTGTATGGGGGGATAAAAATTACAATAGGGAGTTTTTTGTTTACTCTGACTTTATAAATGCACTTTTCTAAGCAATAGTTTTGTGTGTGTGTGTGTGTGTAGGAGGCAGGATATGAATTAGCTTAAACATATAATATACGCTTTATGTATTTGTCTGAAAACACATTATTGATACATTTAACTATTTGCCAAAATATAAACAGATAAAACTGTTTGAGAAACAGGCTCCTAAAAGGAACTATGAAAGCGTGACCGTTACTTTCAATGGGCATGTTGTTGTGTATATCGGATCCTACCAGCTACATTCGGATGTAAACGGTAAGAACTGCCTTGTATATTGCCACTGCTTTCCGACTGCAAGTTGTCAGTTGTCCCATGTGAGTGGAAAGCGAAAGGGTGAAATAGCTTCTTCGCCAAAATGGAACCAAACCTGTTGCCATCAAGTCCATTCTGACTCATAGTGACCCTGTAGGACAGAGTAGAACTGCCTCATAGGGTTTCCAAGGAGCACCTGGTGGCTTCGAACCGCCGAACTTTTAGTTAGCAGCCAAACTCTTAACCACTACGCCACCAGGGTTTCCAAAATAGATTCTTAATACTTTGCAAATGTTGCTTGAAGAGTTACTAATTGTAATGCATGAAGTGAAACACTGAGACTCCGAAGTGATCTTTTCTTTGTATCATTCTTCACTTATGCCTGGGGCACCCAGTTTTAAGCAAAATAACTGTAACTCCTGCCAATAAATCAAATAATTCATTAACATTGGCTTGGATGCAGGATAAAAAATCTAAATTTTGAATTGCAACAGAATGTTTTATTTAACAAATTTGAACCATACCTTTATTATCTACTTCAATTAAATTCAACAGCTGTTGTATTGGGAATATCAGGCAGGAAACATCCTGAGACCAGGGACCACTGTCTGTCTCATTCAAGACCTCTCTCCACTATGCCTTCCATGGAGATGGACAGTGAAAGTCTGTGGAAAGAATAACTGGGAACAAAACGAAAGGTCTGCTCTGGAGAAACTTATGGGGGGTGGGGAGGTGGGGAAGGAAGGTGTATGGAAACAAAACAAACATTATTATTACAAAGTTTTACTGAAGAACTGTAAGAAGTGCTATGTAAGCACAAAGGTGAGTACTTTGACGCATTTACTCCCAAAAGTAAAGTAAATGGATTGGACTACACATTGGTTCTTATCAACCTTTTATTTGAAGATGGTTAAAGACTCATTTCCACCACCCATCTGTCCGTTTGTTGTACTGTGGGGGCTTATATGTTGCTAAGATGCTGGAAGCTATGCCATTTCAAATACCAGCAGGATCACCCATGATGGACAAGTTTCAGCGGAGCTTCGAGACTAAAACAGACTAGGAAGAAAGTCCTAGAAATCTACTTCTAAAAATTAGCCAATGAAAATATTATGGACCACAACACAACATTGTCCGACTTGCTTGCTTTGGACACGTCATCAGGAGGAATCAGTGTCTAGAGGAGGACATCATGTTTAGTGAAGCAGAGGGCCAATGAGGGCATGGGAGACCCTTGGTGAGATGGATTAGCACAGTAGCCGCGATGATAGACTCAAACGTGCTGGCTGACAACAGTGACAAGACACACTTGAGAATTATGAATTATGTCCAACCTCCCTGCAGGAAGAAAAAAGCACACGTGCAACAATGTTGCTTATTAGGTCTGGGAGCTCACAAGCCCCCTGACACCCACACATGGACCCAGGTTCTGAACTACTATATAGATGACCACTGGTATAACTACTCATTTTAAAAGTTTAATTCACTTCCTAAATCTGTACATTAAAAAACAAACCATGGGAAGAAGGGGAGCAAACCATGCTTTAACAGTAAGCAGGTTTCAGGTCATTTCAAAAGTTATTAACGTTATTTTCACGTCAACAAGGTATGCCCCTTCTTCCTCAAATAGTCCTCTCACGATTTTATGATCTCGTGGTACCTTGCCTTGTCTTTACTGTTGAGTTTTCCTCATTGTATTATAAATTCTTTTTATGGACCAATGTCATGTGTCAGCTCAACCTCTTAAAGGTTAGAGACTATGACTTATACATGTTGTCCTCTTAGGGACTAACCAAAAAAACCCAAACCCATTGCCGTCGAGTGGATTCTGACTCATAGCAACCCTATAGGACAGAGAAGAGCTGCCCCATAGAGTTTCCAAGGAGAGACTGGTGCATTCCAACTGTCGACCTTTGGGTTAGCAGCCAAGCTCTTAACCACTGTACCACCAAGGATCCATCTTAGGGACTGGGTGCCAGTATCAACAATGTTTGGAAGATGGCATTAAGGAATTTTTATTTATAAAACTCAATCGTTACCCAAAATAGTTCAAATTACTTCAAAAAGCCAACCCAGTAATGAAGTGCCAAGGCCATCTGATGGTATAATCTATTTATTGATATAACTCTTCACTGTCCAAGTGTGAGAATCAACTTTGGAGCTTCTGTACAAATGGTTCTTAATACCTGAACTTAACACATACAGCCTGGCAAACCAGATAAGATTGGGGGGGCAGGGGGAAATGCTGCTCAACAGTTGCTCATGTTATAAATTCAAACTTACTTCTGCTTTTGGCTAACCACACCACTGTCCACTCTGTCTGCAGAGATGGCAGTTGGGTTCATTCTTCCATTTATTCAATTGGTTATCAATCCATTCATTCATCCAACAAACATTTAGGCATTATGCTAAATTTTAGTTGTAAGTGCCCAAGTTATTCTTTTCCCTTACCTCTGACCCTGCACTAT